GTGAAGAAGCAGATGGAGAATTTTAGAAGATGAAGAAGAAATTGTACTCGATTAAGTCAACGGCAAAGAAATAAAGCAAAAGAACAATGGTTGGATAGTGTTTTTTTTGCTCTTTGTGATATGAATTTTTACAAATTATAAACTTAAAAAATGTATACATGAACTTGATTGGTAACTCATCAAATGATAAAGTAATATAATAAGTTGTTTTACAAAATTTTATTAATAACAAAAAAATGATTCCGTTTTATGAAATAATTCTTTTATTTAGTTCCGTAAACTAATCAAATGTATCAACATAGTTATTTCAAAATTAGTATTAGAGATGTACATGTTCTCTATGGGATAAAAGTACAATTGTGTTTGAATTTTTGTTAGAGTTTGGTTAGATGGGGGACCTAATAATGGCTAAAGGTTATGATATCACATCATGCTGTTATATGATTCTTTTCTTACTGACCAGCTTTAAACAAATTTAGTAAATAATCTTATACCTTGACTCAGTCAATATGTACTAGAATAAGAAAATATCATATGTGGATAGAGAAATATATATGTCGGCAATTTCAAAACGTATTTGATATATATAATGGTTGATTACGTGATTATGTTATTACACAAAATATTAAGTTTTTTAGCTACACCAAATATGAGGTTTCAATTTTTAACATGCACACTATTTGCAATTTGTGAGATTTTTTTTTTTTTTTAATGAAAAACTTATCAGTCATTTGTCGTAATCATACATGCACGCAATGAATTCGATTATCTATGTGAAAAAGTTGGATTTGGTTGTTGCAAATTATATATAAAAAAATTATAGATCATCATTTAGTTTAATATCACTTATAGAGTTATAGATTGTAATGGTAATGTAATGATTAAAAAAGATATAAGACACGTTCGTTTCACTATTTCTCAGTGTTGACAATGATGCTGTGTTTGTTTTAATCTTATTAACGTTAATCAGTCCAGTGGTAATATATTTTTTTTTTTGAAAAAGTCCAGTGGTAAAATATTGAATGTAGTAAAGATTATTTACTAGTAATTACCCTTTTAAGAAGCGATCTTGTGTTTCACAGTTCATTAAACCTTTGTCCTCAATTTCAAACGACAATAATGAGTCATGAAATATCTACTTCTGCTTTTTGTTTGTTCTCTAGTTGAACCAAAAAGTCATACATAAGCGTATCAGACGGAACGGATGAAGCGGATCAAGCGGAACAAATGCGTATTGAACGAATCAAGCGGTACAAATGCGTATCAAGTGGATCTAACAGTTCAAAATGTATGTTTGAATGATAAACGCGGATAAAAAGCGGTCCAAAACACTGTACATATTT